GTATCCGACGCCTGGACGGAGACATGAAAGGAGAAGTTCGACGATGACGATTAATATTTCCATATCGATAGTTAACTGACTGCTGGAGGCTATCGGATGAGTCATCAATCATCATAAGCTATCTTAGTTACGCTGAAGTGGGTTAGATCAAAACACTGGCCTTGTTTCATACGCCTCAGTACATAAATCAGGTATCAGATTCCTTTTTATAGAAGGTCTACACATGTACTGTGTAGTCCCGCAAGGATATTGTATCACCATCAACCTAATGGTAATATTGAAAGATTCTTAATTTCCTAGATTATGCTTGAAAGGTAGTTTATTTTGTAGAAGAAAACAAGGGATGTAATTTACCCCACTGTGTTGTGGAATCGATCTTCCATGGTACGGAAGCCCCGTACATAGTCTACCAAGCAGGTACCTACTTAGGTAGACGTACTCTGTATGTACTTCTAGATGTTGTGCCTTTGTGTGGATATTTGCTTGACTGCTACGGAGTACCGCGCCCGTCTCTTGTTTCAGCTTCTGAAGTTTGCTAATGGTCTCTTTGTCCCGGGCCTTCATCTCGCATCGTCTATCTAGATACTTTCTAGTCTCGCCTTAGTCTCCCCACGGAAATCACTCGGCTTATCCATTCCACGAGGGGCGCAACATATCGCAGCGGGGAATCCACTAAAAATCACAACAAACGCGGTTAACTTTCTTTAGTACGATCTTATCAAGCAGTCAATCCCTTTGTTCCCTGTTTTCAGCCAGATCGCTTGACTTCTGTTGAGTTTGTCGATATTAAATGAATGCTGCACGCTGCTCTCTCTGGTGTCTGTCACCTAGTGGTCTCCCAAGCGCATGAAAGCTGAGCTCGAAACGGAGGCCATGATCATCAAGCCTTTTTCCACTTCCGCAGTTGAAATGGTCTCTCAAGCCCAAGTTCTTGATCGCTCTGCGCCGATGCAAAGCGCACCTTCTTCTGTGTCGCGTCATTCGCATAGCGGTCGCCGCCATCGCTCGAGTCGGTCCCATCATGGTGGTCCTTCTTATCAATCCCAGAATGATTTTCCAATCTTCACCCACACCGGTGATGTTGAGATCGTGATACGCGCCAGTGGACAGGAACGACGCTATCTTCTGCATCGATTGATATTGGCGCAATGCTCCGGGTTCTTCGAGGCCAGCACAAGCGAGGGATGGTCGCAACAGGGCACAGCGAGGCCTCAGCACATCGATACGGGGATAATGTCCCGGATCAGCGAGGATAACTCGTCGCTATCCAACGGATCAACCCTTGCGCAATCAGAGAGCGGCGCATGTGGGGTTCCGCCAGAAAAGAGGAGGTGGAGATACGAGCTGGATTGGGAAAATAGGGCGGAAGACGAAGAGCCTATACTTGTCCAAAAGGTCAGTCTGAACCATATTAATGCAAGTCCAACAACTGACGACGATATGAGAATACAGCAGCCAACGTTTTCCAACGTCATAGGGAGCGATGCCGTCCACTTTCCCCCGTCGATGACCAAACCTTCGAGCGCACAAACTGGCTTCATCCGATCAATGGCAAATCTAGCAGGGATGCAATCCGTTGTCAACCTGCCTCATACGGCAAATACAGCAACTGTGGAGATGGATCCGATCATCCGTGACTATGACAATCTGTTTCGCCTGTTCTACAACTACCCTCCTCTTCTCAATAGCGTCAACATCGCGACTGCTTATGCCGAGTGCCGATCTCTGCTTGCGCTTGCCGACATGTACGATGCCTTGGCGGTTACTGGACCTCGAGTAGACCATCATCTCCTCGGATTTGGATCTCGACTCTTCAAGCAGATTGCCAAATATCCCCCGAGCTACCTCAAGTTGGGGTACCTCGCGCGCAGCCGGGTCATCTTCTCCGAGGCGCTGATTCACGTTGTGGGCCAGTGGCCCGCGGCACTACCGCACCTTCGCAACGGCTCATACTCACCCCTCCCGAACTCGGTTCTCGACATCATCGAGGACAAAGTCGAGGATCTAGAAGACCTAAGGGCGCGCGTCGACTCGAAGCTTCTGCGATTGACGCTCACCACTTCGCGCGGCGAGCGCGTCACCCCTACCAATGCATACCTCGACTGGCTCGCCGTTTCCCTCTTCCGCCAGTGGCTCGTGGACAACACCACCCCGCCGCCGGCTCCGATCCTCAAAAACCCCTCGACGAACCGTCTGCCCGTCACAAGCGCAAACATCAACACCAGCACCAGCCCCAGCACCAGCAACAATACCAGCCGCCGTCCACAAAGCAGTCATCGCACGCAGGAAATCATCTCACGGGCCTCCCCTCCCTCGGCCCCTCTCTCCCCAGCACAGGTCTACCGACTCATAGGCTCGCCCTCGACACAAGCCTACCTCTCGCATGACGAACTCAAGAAATTCCTCAAAGTCCACCCCACCCCGTCCGCAGAGTCGCTCTACACCCGGGACGTCCTCAAACGTTTCGAGCGCAAAATGGACGAAATCAAGCGGCTGGCCCGGGAAATCGTTAAGCCGCTCCTGAGGAATTTCCTCGAGTTGGAGCTGAAGGGTACCGAGCTGGGCGACTCGGCGCTCGGCGTGTTGCCATATCTCACCTGCACGAAAGTCGAGGATGAAGATATCCCCTGGGATTGAGGGAGACAATAACGACTAATGATGCCTATCCACGCTTTTACTTCCCATATGATTTGATTATGAATAATGACACAGACACTGATGTATGCGAAAATGGCGGAGCTTTTTTGTTTATTGTTGTTTCTCGTCATGCCGATATGATCACGATACCCCCTGCTATATTATGCCATCTGATTCTAGTTCATTCCCTTCGTTGATTTGCCTATCTAAGGGCAATTGCTTTTATTTCCGTGATGTTCGATGTCCAAATGTGGTGTGATAAAGCCGCTCATTAGCTTAGTTAGGCTGTAATACATCCGAGATATTAAACGGCTTTTCTCCTGTGCAGGTCATCCACCTGCAGTAAACAAAAGCAGCGACCGTCGTTATATTTACGAGCGCCAGATCAACGTATTCTACATATTGTACAGCATAATACACCGGAGGAGAGAGAATAACTCATACAGAGACGCTCGATGAAACCTACAACTTCTCTCCAATAACCTCCAGCCCCCCCATCCACTTCCGCAGCACCTCCGGAATCACAACAACCTTCCGTTTCTCATCCCATCCATTCTCCAAGATAGCGGCCAGTACACGCGGAACGGCCATCGCGGTCCCATTGACAGTGTGTGGGAACCGAGATTCCTTCGCCGAGCCTCCGCGCACACGCGTACCCAGCCGTCGACTCTGGTAATCTGTGCAGATCGAGGCGGAGGTGACTTCTCCCCAGCCGGACTCGAGGTCAGGCGAGGAGCTGTTGCTGCCGGCCGCAGGGGCGCGCAGCCGCGACGGGAAGAGAGCCTCGATGTCGCGTTTGCGGCTGGCGCTGGCGCCGAGGTCTGTGGTAGGCATTTCCAGGACGCGGCAGGGGAGGTTCAGGGCGGTGAGGATCTCGGTCTGGATGTCCAGGAGCTCGGCGAAGAGGTCGTCCGAGGAGCTGGTTGCGGGGAGGGTATCGGCCCAGCCGAAGAGTTCTACCTTGGTGAATTCGTGCACGCGGTACAAGCCCTTGGTGTCGACGCCGCGGGAGCCTGCCTCGGCGCGGTAGCAGCGGCTGGCACCGACGAGTTTGAGCGGGAGGTTGGAGGCGTCGAGGTCGCGGCCGGCGTACATGGCTGCCAGAGGGATCTCGGCTGTGCCGGTCAGGGAGCGCTGCGGCTTACTCTTGTCCTTGTCGCTCTGCTCGATGGCCCAGATCTGCTGCTCGTTGTGCTGGTCGCGGGGCTGGAAGCCGCACGCTTCAGCGATGTAGGAGTAGACAATCGACGGTGGCGACACCACTCTCCAGCCGCGGTTGCGGGCCACGCTGAGGGCGTACTGGATCAGCGCTTGTTCCAGCAGCGCCCCTTCGTTTATCAAGAAGTACCAGCCCCAGCCTGTGGTGGTCGCAGAGCTTGTAAAATCGATTAGCTCGAGCGCGGTGCCGATAGCGACATGAGATCGAGACGGGTCTGGACGGCTGACCCATTCAGGGGGAGACTGAGGATCGAAATTGATGTATGTGACGAGCTTTGGGTCGTCTCCGACGGGGGTCTCGGGGGAGGAAAGGTTCGGCAGGGATAGGGCGAGCCGTTGGATTTCTTCGGTGCAGGTTGCTCTCCGGGTATTCATTGCATGCGATTCATCCTTCAATTGTTGTGCCTCTGACCGGAGAGATGCCAATTCTTCCTCAATGGCACTGGATGCGCCATCTTGTCGAGCGGATGCCGCAAGATTCGCTATGGTCTTCTCCAATTGTTTAATGCGGGACCGCGGCGTTTTGAGATCATGATCCAGACGCCTTGCTTCTTCGGACAGTTCTTGGATTCTGTAGGGATAATTAGCGTGCGCCGGGTAATTTCGATCCACGCTGTTTTTTGAGTAGAGCTCTGCGTTCTGGCGGATATGTTTGATGTCGGGGGAGGGTTTCGGGGCGGTTGCGGGACGCAGCAATTCCGAGTTTCGAGCAGACGCAGTGAAGTTGCGTCGGGTGAGCCTGCTTGTCAATCTGCAATTGAGGCAGATGTACGGTGATTTAATCGACGCCATGGCAGGCCGAGGGACGTGGAAGTTATAAATGCGCGGGAGATATGGGCCGATGGAGGAAAAAGGTAAGAGCTGAGCTGTCGCCGCCTTTCCTAATTTGGTAATCTGCATTCTAATTTTTATGGTCTTGATACCAAGTTACCAACGTTTCTACTACATATATGATGCATTCCGTCATGTATTTCCTCTGTATTTCCATTAGAAGGAGATTATATGTGTCAGGTGCGAGAAGTATATCCTGCACAGAATCTCTCCCATTGATATCCAGGCCCGGCAATGCGCAAGCATTGACGAGCTGCGTCGGGTTTCCTATCTGCCTTCATTCGGACTAGCAAATCATCGGAAGGCAAATCGCTCTAGAAGCCTAATTTATGCTTCTTGATTCTGGCACCGACTCCTGCGACGATTAACACTGCTGCGACAAGAACTCCCCAAAGCGGAATGTGCAGAACATCCACATTATACGTCGTCTGCGTTGCCGCTGCCACGGTTGCTAGTTCCAGGACAAGCAGCGAGTATCCAAAATGGCGGTGGTACTTGTACAGTCTCTTGCCCGCATCAACGCTGCCAAGGATCGTGACAGGGAAGAAATACTGAACAAGTCCCAGCAGTGCTTGAAGAATGATGCAGATGTAGGTGATTAGTCCGAAGATAGCATGCGGCGATGTCAGCCGCGGATGATCGCCTTTGTTGATCTCGATAATAATAAATGCGGTGACGAAAGCAGCCAGGCTGATTGCTTGCAGCGAATAGTGAATTCGAGTGCCCAGGAGCTTCTGCTGCGGCGTCGCGGTTGGCTGTAAAATAAGAGCGGCTTGTACTTGGAGAAGTATAGCGGAGGAGTTGAGCAGCTATAGAAATTAGGCATCTCCCCATAGTATCATCTATAACTCGATATTACGATCAACGTACCGGATGAGCAGAAAAGAAGATCAAAGGATGGGAGAAGATGCCAGCCCAGATGAGGGCCGCAAGCTAGGAAAACGCGTCAATCACAGGAAACACCAGAAGACAGCCATGTTATCTTACAATCAATATGCCGCACTGAGCAACAGCGGCAGTCCCTGCAGCCGATGAATTAGTATCAAGCCAGACAACCTCACATTCAGCAGCACAAACCTTTGATCAAGTTGCGGTAAATAGATTCGTTTTCTCTTTGGGTTACTGCACCTGGTCCACCCAATAGTGGCTCATCTTCTCTGGCCTCGATGGTCTGGGGATGTTCTTGAGGGACTCCTGTGGCAGAGGCCATGATATTACTACAGAGGCCAGTCGTCGTCTTCCAGATGGTCTTCGAGGTACCGAGATATTTGTTATTGAAGAAAGATAAGAGGTTCAACCAGTAGTCTGAGGGTTAGATGCTTGCAGATTATAATAAGAGGCTGGGCGCAAGTCGATGACGAATTCAAGGGCGTCGATTGCCAATCCATGCGGAGAAGCCCAACTACGGAAAATCAACCGCCCTGAAGTCTTCTACAAGCCACTACGCAGCCCAGCCGATCTATAGGACAAGAAATTCAATATCAATAATTTATATCAGATTCAAAGCAGACTGAATTTTGTAGCACCAAACGAATCACAGGCGACCCATAACAGAACCATGAAATCAAGAAAACCGAACCCAAAATCACCACTTCATCTTCCTCGATCTGCTGCAAAGTTAGCAGGACATGAAAACAACCTTACAAGTAGAAAATTGGAAAAGATGTCCTAGAAGATAATTAACAGACAAGATTAGTATCGGTCTGAAGCATTTTTGCAATCACAATCATCCTGGAGTTGGGACTTGCAACCATACCAATGTTCGTTGGCAACTCTGCAGGACTCATGGTCGCACTCATGGCTGCAGAATCTCTCACGAAGATGGTCGTTTAGCTCATCCTCGTCACTGTCTCTATAATCCATGTCAGTGTCAGCGTCGCTGTCGCCAGCCTCTCCGACAGGGCTCGAGGGGCACGAGAATCCGTCCGTCTGCAGCTGGGGGCTAGTAAACATCTCGAAAATCGGAGATAGAGCGGCCTGGTCGTCCTGGGCTTCCTCCTCCCCCAAGGCTGCAAGCTGCACTTCGAGATCATCCATGACTTTGCTTATGATATCTGCTTCTTCAGGATGCGCGTTCAGTAGGTCTGTCTGTTCCTGGAGGGCGGCCAGGAGGGCGTCGCGCTCGTTGGACGGGGCTTGATAGGTAGACATTGTCATTCCGAGAGAGGAACCAGGTTGAATTATATCAATAAGAAGTATTCGAAGAAGATTGGATATCGCTGATGAAAATCAGGATGGAGATGATAATTAAGCCATTCAAATGCTTGTCAAGGCCATTATATAGACCGACGAGGACAAACATCTAGTCTTCATCTGGGACAGAGAGCATCTGTCTCATTCGGGGTGTTGATTAATAGCAGTCCGAGTGAGAGTGTCTCAAAAATTTATACGCAGTGGATCAGTTGAGAATGCCATTGTTGTCTTGCACAATGCGTTGCCTACTTCTATATGTCTTACAACATCCAGACCCGTTTTGGAAGAGACAACGCAAGATTGGGCGCATCACTGAGTAAATCCATATGGGAATGAAATGTAGCTAGAGACATTGAGAAGACATCTATGATCTTGAAACCGCAATTCAACATTGTTATGCCCAAGGCATCCGTATCACGGCAGTCTCCTCCCCAGAACCTGGTCGACCAACGACAAGTTCCGCGCTGAGATTGTCCTTCTCCAGATTCATAATGATATTGAAAATGGTCTTAGATCGCACCGCAGGACCGCGGCTAGGATCCTCTGAGCAGCAGATAGCCTGTGGCGCATTGAAAGTATCCGAAAAGATCTTGTCCCGCAGGAGACTCGGAGTGATCTGAGAGCCTGCGATTCCGCCCCCGATCAGCTCCCGAAGGAGCTGGCGGACTCGATCCAGTCGAATTGGAGAGCCGGAGAGCCACGGAGGCTCGTACACGTTCCGATTCTCGATGAAGTGGTTAGTGTGAGTGATAGTTCCCAACTCATCTTCCTCAAGATACACATCTCCCACTGGCGAGAGTTCAAGTCCCAGTGCGGTCGTGCTGTCTGCAACTAGGATGTGCACACTGCAAGCTATACCTCCCAGGCCGGAGATCCTTTCGGCCGCCGTCTGGGCAGATGGGCTCTCAAGACAGAGGCGGAGCGCCACATGGATAGGGATTTTTGAGCTGATGCACGGTTTCGCCCGAATGGCGTTGAGGCAAACGCCTACACCTGCGCTGTTAAACCCAATCTTTCCAACAATACCGGCCTGTTTTAATGTCAGTGTTAGTCTGTATTGACAAATGAAACTGCCGAGGGTAGACCAACCTCGGTAACCATATAGACTTTTGGCTTGCCGGGCTGTTCGATTGACATGATAGCGATATTCTTCCCCGCAGCGTGAGCCCAGTCCCAGTTCTGAGCCAGGACTCGTCCATCGTCATGTTTCTTCCAAGATAGACTTGTGCAGCCATCGGAGAAACTGCCCATGGCAATTTCACTGCGACAGTTCAGCGCCACAATGTCGAGAAGATCTACCCCCACTCCATCTGCTATACCCTGTATCTCTGCGTAGATGTCGGGCACTTTCTTCTCCAGTGATTCACGGAACTCCTCAGCGAGATTTTTGACATCATTCCAGGACATCTTGGAAGTCTCCAGGAACATGTCTCCGTAGACTTTGATTTGGTCCCGGATCTGCTGCGATAGGATCCGGCCATGTTCAAGTCCGATCTATCAGTCACCAAAGTCAGCTCATACTTCGCAGAACAAAACAAGCAGACGTAATGAGAACAATTGTCTGGAAGAATTTACTTCTCTTGGAGAGCCCTTCAGCTCCAATCTGGGCGGTTCTTCGATCTGAAGCTGCATTGTGAGGAAAGGTGACTCTATGAGTATACCACGAGAGCTTCAACGTCTGGTATCTGCAGTTCAGGATGGAAAAAGATGGAAACTCAATGATTTATAAGAATTTGGGGTAGGCTGTCCCCTCATTTGGTCGGCTGTTTTCCGAGATCCTGGCCATTTGCTGATCGGGTTGGGTTCGGAGATAGTTGGTCGTACTGCAGTGTGGAGCTATGCATACTTACCTGATAGCATTATAGCTTCATCATTAGACTTTTTAATTTGCAAAGAGTTTTAATACCTATATGACTAATTCTGGAACTGGAATTTCTGGGAATTCTGCCTCTGTGCCAACTTATGTCACCTATGATAGGCCACGCTATGTCTAGTATACTCAAGGCAGGCAAGATATGGCCTCCATCACTATCATTCACTGGCATCGCACATAACAACAGATATCGTCATGCCCTATCCAAGCCTACAACATTCACTACCTCATGTTTGTTGATATCCTGCATGCACCTCGCGTCCAATGTCGCGTTTATATACCACCCTACCACTCCATCCCCCTACCTCCTAACAACCACAGGATACAAACCTCGATAATCAACACCATGCCTGCAGAAACCCTGTAACACTTTCTTTACCAGCTCCATCTCCTCACCTCAGCCTGCCCTTGCTACCCTCCAGACCGCGTCTCTTCGAGCCAAATCTCATAAAGCGACAATCCTAAAATGGCCAACACAGAGCAAGAACGCCAGAAGATCCTATCTACCCTCTCGAACATCTTCTGGTCCAACACCGACGTCTCCACCGGCGTCACCCACAAGCCCTATGGCGTGGACTGGATCAACCTCGAAAGAAACATGTACCGCCTCTGCGTTCTCCAAGGCAAGGTCCGCGACGGCGACAAGGTCCCTGAGGATCCATGGGAGATGTTTCTGCGCGAGTTTGCGCCGCTCACGAAACGCCCCGCTGGTCAACGACAGCCCTCAAATGCGTACTTTCCCAGCTCGATTTTGCGGTCTTCGGTGGGGAATGCGACTGCGACTGTGACAGCGACTGCCGGTGCGAGTCAGGACGGCCAGCCTCATGTGCGTTTCGAGGTGCCCTTGCTGCGTCGCTCGGATGAGAATCGGCGCAACTTGGGCCGTATTCCGCGTTACTTGAACTGAGGGCAGGCTGAGGCTTGGTTCTATCGTTCCTTGAGGTCTTGTGCGATTGTGAGTTCTTTTTGTCTGGATGGTGGGCGGAAGCTGACACTGTTTGCAAGCGTTTTGTCAAATTGCAATCAAGTTCGATCTGCTGGCGTTGTTTGTGCTATAGCGGGATGGCTGGCTGGCTTGGTACGGATATGCGCTGGGCAAATCTCAGCGTTGTGCGTTTGGAATGGCATGGTCATGGCAATGTTGGTTCTGTACAATAGTCGCTTGCTTGTGCGATGTAAATGCATCCATTCTATGACTGTATGTATTCTGAGTTCTGTCTTCCAATATCTGTCATACATCATTCAACTCTATTCAGTGTGCAAAGGTCTATTCCTCCATCGGCATGTGGAAACACTTAAGAATCCTTGATCAGATGCTTAAACAGCTTGTCAAGGTAATACGCAGATTGCTTAGGGTACCGAGTCTTATCTGGTGAATCAAAGTCGATAAAGGTACACCCGAACCGATCGGTATAGCCCGCAGCCCATTCTGCGTTATCATCAGCATTGCAATTTCGCACGAGACAAGAAAACCTACCCCAGTTATCGGTGAATGTCCAGGCAAAGTAGGAGCGGATATCAACGCCGTCCTCCTTGACCGCACGAGCTAGTGCCCACCCAACATATCCCTCGAAGAACTTGATGCGGAACTGATCGTTGAGAACTCCAGGTGTAGCCGTTGTCTCGCCCTTGGCTGTCGTCCCGTTCTCCGTCACGTAGATGGGCATCTGGTACCGTGACCAGATCCAATTCAGAAGTTTTCGGAAGCCCCAGGGGGCAGCTCGCAGCCACTCCGTGTCGCTCTCTTCGCCTCGAGGGACACCCTGTTTGTTGGAATCATGGATCTCCACGTTCCCCTTGTGGTCGTTAATGTCCGCAGGCGTGGTCTTATGTTTGACGAAGAACGACGTGTACGTGTTCATGCCGTAGAACTCGGAACTCCCAAGCACCAGCTTCGACTCCTCCGGCGTGAACTTGGGCAGACGGTCACCCAGCTGCGCCCTCATAGAGGCCGGATAATCACCCGTCTTGTAGAGCGGGTCCGCGAACCAGGCAATCTCGAACTCGCGCGCGCGCTCAGCGGCTTCTTGATCCAGCGGGTTGGCTTCATCCCATGGCTCGGACCAGTTCCCGTGAAGCGTGATGCCGATGGTCCCCTGCTGATGGGGCTGAAATTCCTGCTTGTAGAGCCGGGACACGTGTCCGTGGGCGACCAGCTCCGTGTGCGCTACGATGAATGGCTCGGTGGACGAGTCACCCCCCTCGTTGCGGTCCCGGAAAGAGGAGCGACCCGGTGCGTGAACGCCGGCCGCATATCCAGCCAGCGTATAGACACCAGGCTCGTTGAATGTGATCCAATGCTTGACGCGGTCGCCGAGTCTCTCAAAACAAACTCGAGCGTAATTGACAAAGTCCGGCACGAACTTGTCCTGGTTCAGCATGCCGCCGTAGCGATCCTCCAGGGCTTGCGGCGTGTCCCAGTGGAAGAGCGTGACAAACGGTGTGATGCCATTACGGAGCAGCTCGTCAACGAGATTCGAATAGTATTCTATCCCTTTCTCGTTGACGGGGTCGTCGCACCCTCCGTGAGGAATGATGCGAGACCAAGAGAGGGAAAAGCGGTATGCATTGACCCCATACGACTTCATGAGCGCCACATCTTCCTTGTACAGATCGTACGAGCGCACCGCGTCGTCGGCAGTGCTTCCGTCCTTTACCTTACCAGGTGTGTGCGCAAAAGTATCCCAGATCGATTGGCCTTTACCGTCTTTATTCCAGGCCCCTTCCACCTGGGCCGCCGCGGTGGCGTAACCATGAAAGAAGTCGCTCCTCAAGACACCTTTGAGATCTTGGACGGATTGCAGGTCCATGTCTCGTCTCTCCAGGCCGTTTGGCGGTCTGTTTCTGGATAGTCTAAGCCAAGTAGAGACTCGTGCAGGAGTCAGAGAAACTCGTAAATGAAAGGCTTAATCCAGCAATAATTGAACACCAGATTCCGTTCACGGTTCTCGTGCAATTTGGCAGGTTTATTCGATCAGGCTTGCTTGCTGTCATTAAGATATCCGGCTAAAATTGAACATTTAGCTCGTCAATTGGCCGGTTTACTCCACCATCCTGTCTCTTCATTGCTGGATAATTCCATCTGGGCATTGACCAAGTGGGGTGGGGTACCCAAAGAGGGGGAAATAAGTGATGTATCATACATCAGATCACTCATTGAAATCTTACAAGTCAGTCGAAAAGAGGACGATGTGCCTGATTCCCCGACTGGAATCTAAACTACGCTACGCTGTCTTTGATGGTAGAAGGATTGGGAGGGGTCAAATCATGGCCGTGGGCGCTCCATCCCACCTGGGAAACCATCCTGGCCCCTGGGGAGTCCCTGCGAAGGCATGCGAGTAAGATGTGCCAGTTGTCATTGCCTACGTTTCTGACTGTATGTCCTTACTACGATTAAAGAGACAGTCGAGCTTCTTGACAGTTATATAGCTACACGCACAGTGCGGAAGTCAAGGCTGAATCCTATGAGATCCCCTGCCCTGGATCTCGATCCGAGGTCCATTGTCAGGAAAGCAAAGGACTGTTTTACGGCCGAATTCCGAGTAGACAGTCACAGCATCCTTTATTTGACCGTTTTCCCAGCTGAAATCTAATTTGAACCCTCCACGAGCGCAGATGTTCCGTAGACACCCAGAACTCCAGGCTCTCGGGCAAGCGGGAAGGAGTCTAATAATTCCCTCCTCATGGGATTGAAGGAGCATCTCCAGGATACCCGCGCCGGCGCCAAAGTTACCGTCGATCTGGAACGGTGGGTGCGTGTCCAATAAGTTGGGCAGGGTTGACTGCGCCAGTAAGAGATCAAGGTGCTTCGCGCACTCCTCAGCTGCCAGCAATCGTGCATGCAGATTGATTAACCATGCTCGACTCCAGCCCGTATGACCTCCTCCATGGGCCTGACGTCTGTGCAGCACGACCGAGCAGGCCTCGGCTATTTTGGGTGTTGTTTCCGGGCTGATGGTGTCTCCAGGATGCAAGGCCCACAGGTGAGAAACATGCCGATGACCGGGCTCTACTTCCGCATAGTCCGCAGCCCATTCTTGTAGTTGCCCGAAAGACCCGATGCGCAGGGGTGGAAGTCGGCGCAGGGCGTCTAATGCTGCCGGTGCAAGCTCAGCGTCAATTTCTAACTCCTTGACACTTTTCAGGTAAGCGCTCAGGACAGCATTCACAATCTGAATATCAATGGTGGAGCCTTCGCACAGGACACCGCGCTCTCCATTTTGATCATAGAACGTGTTTTCAGGCGACAGTGACGGATTCGTGACCAAATACTCTCCGGATGAGTCTTCAACCAAGAAATCAAGAAGAAATTGCACACATCCTTGCAGAATTGGAAACATTCTCTGGAGGAATTCTTTGTCGCAGGTGAAACGGAAATGATCCCAGATATGAACGCAGAGCCAGGCGCCTCCTAGAGGCCAAAGTGTTGCTGGCATCCACGTGTCTACAGGAGATGTATCAGCCCAAATATCGGTGCAGTGATGAGCGACCCAGCCACGGCAGCCGTACATCTTCTGTGCTGTCTCCTCTCCTGACTTCGCAACGCGCTCTAGTAGAGAGAATAAAGGCATCTCACAATCGGAGAGATTGCAGACATTTGCCGGCCAGTAATTCATTTGCAGATTAATATTTATCGTGTATTTACATCCCCAAGCTGGATGGAAGGATGGATTCCATATACCCTGTAGTGTCGCTGGTAAAGCTTTGTCCTCATCCCTACTGCACGATATCAATAGGTAGCGACAGTAATTATGGTAGAGTGCTATCAGACCAGGGTCATGCGAATCCTTGATTCTCTTGTCAGTCGGCATGTCACAGTTGTTGGGACCCAGGTGCATTTCCATGCGACCATAGAGTGATCGGTAGTCGTTCACATGTCGCTCCCAGATCTCGTCAGTAGAGTGCAGCAAAGCTGTGTTCAAATCAGAGGAAGCCTCCTTGTCTATGTCGTCGCAACGGTAAGTGGTTTGCGCCGAGATTAGCACCAGCGCATCTTCAGCATTGACCAGCAGTTTGTTTCCGACTTGAGTGACAGAACCTTGATTATCCGCTGTGCGAACTTTGACCATGCAACAAGCCCTGTTGCTCTTGTGTCCGCCAGGGGTGATATGCATGGTAATTGTCCGGTCTTGTGCTGTGACGTCGTCAAGATATTCATTTGTTTCGTATTCCAACTCACTCATTCGCGTGAGCCGCAAGGAAAACTCCGTTCTCTGGGATGCCTGGACTCGAATGGCAATGACACCGTCGGGGTTGCTGGCGATGACTTCCCGTTGAAGCTTTACGCCTTTGTGCTCATATTCCACACGACTGATAGCACGCTCAATATCCAACGACCGTCGGTAGTTCCGAATATACTCAGGGGCATGACCAAAATCCAGAAACAGAGTCCCCAAGGGTTCGTAATGCCGTTGACTAATGGGATAAGAGAAGAAGGCCAGACGAACCAGCTTCTCCGCCTCTGCATGGTTTCCCTCTCGGATCAGAGACCTGAGACGTGGGAGATACTCAAATGCATCACGAGGAACACGATCTTGGGGTCCTCCAAACCAAACTGAGTCCTCATTGAGCTGTAGCATTTCTGTATCGGTTCGCCCATAGACCATGGCGCCCAGACGGCCATTGCCCACTGGCAATGCTTCCTCCCAGTGGCCAGCAGGCTGCTGGTACCAGAGCTCCGACATTATGGCGTGCAATATCCAACCAAAGGGCCAGTCATCTCGTTTGATCAACGAGTATTGACCTTGATCGTGGTCGTGGATTTATCCCTAGTGACTGACCCATGTCGGTCGTGTCGGGCCGTGAACCGTGTCTGTTTGGTGGAAGGATCAGATAAACCATGGCTAAAACCACAGGACAAGAAGCTATCGACGCTAAAGACTTTAGTGAAAATGCGGAGATTTGTCCGTGGAGAAGGAAACGAATAAGAAGCATTATTTATCCTAACCCGAACTGGTGTGAATCCGAGCGGGGACCTATCAGCGTCAACAAAGCAGGATTCAAAGGCAAAGAAGCCCAAGTTCCCAACAGACGATGCAACAGGAACAGGTCATGTGCCTCCAGTCCTCCAGCATCCGACCAAGTCCCCCGTTTATCGACGGTCTTTGCTATATTCTATACGAGTTGAGCGACTAGATTCCAAATACCCGCTCTGAGAAGATATACACTGTACACAGGACGGCCATGGTCTGCTCTGACCGTCCAAGACCGTTGTTCTACCCCAGGTTAGGAATCCCCCAGACCATGAACTGTCACAGCCCAAGTGCTTGTTTGTAGCTAATCTGAGCTACCAATGCCACTTAGCTTCGCGGAGTACGGCACTATCCATCTAGGCTGGTAGAGACGCGGCTGGACTCGCCTTGTGTTGTCCATTAGCCTTCCATCGAAGTAAGGGAGGCACCTCAATGGCGGAAAAATACCAGCCACAATAAGAAAACCATCAAGGCCAATCTCGCAAATAGGTCATGATTGGCACCCTAGGGACAGCCTATCTCAGCCACGTTATTGACATTCTGCGGCTAAATTCACGAGCTTTATCCATGGACTTTCTACTGGTGCCATTCAAACCATTCTTTCGACCATACCAACTCCGTGGCGAAGGAGGAGCAAGGGCCTAATCGGGTCGACATGTGTTTGTCGCACAAGCAGCGTCCGTCCGACATGATCGGCGACAATCTCATATAGTGGTGTGACCCCAGTAGGCCAGTCAAGGAGGCCGTATCCTCGTCAGCGCCTTATTCTTCGTCTCTTTGCTGTTTAGTTATCCATTTCAAGGGAGTTTCGTTTGTCTCACAAGGCCTTTGGTGTAGTGAGTGCTTGAGCCCTTCATAATGAGTAACCCGATCGATGTCACGGCCACAAAAGAGAGCGAATTGGATGTGAAGAAGGATGAAGCTCATATTGAAGAAGTCGTGCTTGCCAGTCTGACCGAGGAGGACGTTTTTAGGATCTCCCGGGAAGCACTAGATCTTCGGTCTTGGGCAGGTTTCCGCTTATTCTTGATCCTTTTCGTTCAGGGATGCAATCAAGCTGGCTATGGTATTGACTGGGCCGTTATCAGTGGCATCAATGCCTTGCCAGCATGGCACTCCTATTTTGGATTTGGAACTAGCGGAGGCACATACGGCTTGCTCAATGCCTTGATGAACATTGGCTCCGTCTGTGGAGCCCCGTTTATGTCGTTAGCAGACGTAATCGGTCGACGGGGAATCAACTTTCTCGGCAACTTCATTGTGATCGTGGGCGCGGTTCTCCAGGGCTGCGCTGTGAACATGCGAATGTTCATGGCGGCCCGGTTCCTCCTGGGATTCGGATCCGCGCTCCTGTCCAGCTCTCAATATGTGGGCGAGGTCGCCCCGACCCATCTCCGTGGCTTAATCGTCGGCATTTTTGGTGCATGTTTCCAGATAGGCAGTCTGGGCATGACCGGGGCCTTGATTGGCCTGACCAAGATAGAAGGGGACTGGAGCTGGCGAGTCCCACTGCTTCTGGAAGCCGTATTTCCCGCTATAGTCTGTGCTACCATCTACCTCATCACCCCCGAATCGCCCCGTTACTACATCATGCGAGGGAGGAGAGACGCTGCCAAGCGAATGGTTGCAAAGTACCACACGACCAGCGGCGATATCAATGAGCCCATTGTCGAGATCGTCGTATCGCAGATTGAGGCGTCGCTTGAGCATGACCGGACAGGCTTCAATCAGTTCTGGGATTACCGGGTCTTTTTCACGAAGATGGCCCGCTTCCGACTTCTTGTTCTCTTCCTCTACTCCATCTTCCAGCAGTGGAATGGTGGAGGTATCATTACATA